ACAGTAGAGGAAATTTTTTTACTCCCAACGCCTGCTTGGGAAAGGGAGCATCCTGTACTCTGGTAATCATCCACTTTTTCAGAAGAGATGGGAGAGATTCTCTAAAGGAGACTGATAAGGAGGAGGAGGGGCCATAAATAAGAGAGGGTAGGTCATAAATGCTGAGGAAAGAATGTCACCAAAGGACTGGTCAAGAATGTCACAGAATTGTCCTGTCAGGTAAAAGGGACTGAAAAGCATTTGTTGGATTTGGAGACCGAGAAAGCCCTCCAGATCACAAGAGCAGGAGTGGTGGGACAGCGGCCAGGGCAGGAGGTTGAAAAGCAAATGGCAAGAGGGAGAAGCAAACAAGACTAGAAGGTTCTGCAGGTAAGTTTCCGTGGAAAGAGGGCAGAGGGAGGACAGTGCTGGGAGGGGAGGTGCCTAAAAGATGGGGAGGCCAGCTTACAGGCTTTCAGGCAGAGGAGGAAGCCTGGGAAAGGCTGACAAGCAGAGGAGGGCGCAAGGCCTGGGGGACAGCCCTCTGAGTGGTGGACCACACCTCTCTGAGCCTAAGCCTGAGCCTGGACGAGGAGAGGAAGGCAGGAAGAAGGAGGAGGGCAGGGGAGAAGTCTGTGGGGCAGGAAACAAAGGGTGTTCCATTCTTCATAAAGAAGACAGTGGTGGGAGGAGAGTGAAGGGCAGTGCTTTCAAAGGAGAATGGTTTTCTCAGGATCATTGAAGCAAGAAGGTCTGGAAGCAGCACTTGTGGAGGAAGAAATGGTGGCGCCAGGACTGTGACAGGGCAGAGCCCCCTGCAATGTGACTCATGAGTGGGGACCACCCAGAGGATCCAGCGGGCCAGACGGGCCTTGGGGCCCAGCAGTTCCAGCCCACCACCCCCAGCCGCAACTGGACTTGCCAGAAGGGGAGGTGGACACACTGCGGGGCCCCCAGCTTACCAGGGGCACCAGAAAGGGGTTCAGCAGGGCTGCGGTGGTGGCAGCGTGGCTGGTGGTGTCAGGCCCAATGACTGCCAGCGCGGCAGGGGAGTAGTGGGCGGGGTCTGCCTGGACCTCTACGCGACACGTCCCCAGCACGGAGAGCACACTTAGTGCGGCATACGCATTGGCCGACTCAGAGCACACGTCGTACAGCTGGTACCCCAAGGTGACGTTAGGCAACAGGGTTGTGGAGTTGTTGATCTCCTCGATGCCAAAGCGCATGGCCTGGAAGAGGTGGTAGCCATGGCCGTTGAAGCTGTTGGGTCTGTGGAGAGAGCCAAGCTGAGAGCCAAGAAGAGCAGGGCCTTGCTGCAACACTCTCTGGAGGGTAGGAAGGAAACTCGGAGGTCATCTGTCCGGTGCCCATAACCGTGACCTCAGTGTGGGTCCTGTGCCATACACACAGTTGTGTTAACAGGCCTTTGGGTGGGGTGGGGGGGTACAAGTTGGAGAAACCGCAAACCATGCCCCCCGGATAAGCATATTAGCGCTGGAAGGCCAATGAAGTCCGGTATCAGAGACACCTGCTGTGGCTCGGGTTCTCCAGAGAAACAGAGCCAACTGGATGTACAGAGAGGAAGGAAGGTGGTTTTAAGGAATTGGCTCACATGGTTGTGGGGCCAACAAGTCTGACGTGTGCAGGGCAGGCCGGAAATGCCCTCCGTGGCTGATGCTGCTTGAGTCTTGAGTGTGAAGGCCGAATTCCTTCCTTATTAGGGGACCTCAATCTTTTCTCTTAAGGTCTTCAGCTGATCGGATGAGGCCCACCCACACGACGGAAAAACATCTGCTTTACTCACCGTGTTGAGTTAAATGTTAACCTTCACGGCAGCATCTAGCCAGGTGTTTGGCCAAACAACTGGGCACCATACCCTAGTCAGGCTGACACAAAAAGTTAACCACACACCTGTTTAACCTTGTTTAACTAGTGCTTCTCACCAGGACACTCATGAATGTGGTGAGGGCCTGTGTTCCTCACTGCCTCTTGGGAACTACTGGCTGCGTCCCTACAGGGACATGGTTCAGGTCTCCTGAAGAGTGTGTAGGCACATTCCCCTTCCCACCCTCTGTGCCTGCTGGAAGGGTCTTGCATCATTTCTATCAGTTCTGTCCTTGAGTCCCTCAGAGGAAACTCAGTGCTTCCCACCGTGATGCCTTCAGAAGTGGGTGTCCACATGTCTCCTCTTCCCCAAATCTTCTCTTCCCTGGCTGTAGCTCTTGGGGCCAGTCTTCCTGCACTAGGCTTTCCAGAACCTTCCTCCTGTGTGAATCTCAGATGTGCTTTATGTTTGAGGCATCCTGCTACTGAGTCCCAGTCCGTCATCGAGCATCCCAAATCTTCGACTTGCACAGATGGCAAATAGCTTATCTTCTTTAGGAGAAAAGCAGATGTTCTTCTTTACCGACTCTCAACTTCAGGAAGGCAAGGCACCGATCTAAGATATGTTTACTAAACTCCTAGAGCATCTACTGCTTTCCCTTCTCCTCATGGGAAACCAGGCTTGTCATTGGGAGATTCAGGAGTTTGAACCTGGAGAGGAGCAGGGAGGGCATGGAAGGCAGGAAAAGTCATAATTGCTTAATCCTCTTTTATTTTTAAAGATTTTTTTTTAATTTGACAGATCACAAGTAGGCAGAGAGACAGGCAGAGAGAGAGGGGAAAGCAGGCTCCCCACTGAGCAGAGAGCCCGACATGGGGCTTGATCCCAGGACCCTGAGATCATGACCTGAGCTGAAGGCAGAGGCTTAACCCACTGAGCCACCCAGGTGCCCCAATCCTCTTTTTTTTTTTTTAAAGATATTATTTATTTGACAGACAGCGAGAGAGGGAACACAAGCAGGGGGAGTGGGAGAGGGAGAAGCAGGCTTCCTGCCAAGCAGGGAGCCTGATGAGGGACTTGATCCCAGGACTCTGGGATCATGACCTGAGCCAAAGGCAAACACTTAACTGAGCCACCCAGGCACCCCCATGCTTGCTTAATCCTTGTCACCTCCTTATGTCACAAAGCCTAGAAACAACTGGAAGGGGTTTACAAAAAAAGCACTCTAATAGCCAGGACAAAATGACATATTACAAAGTGGAACCTGAGCAGAAGTGCCAAGGAAGGGGCTCCTGGGTGGCTCAGTTCGTTGGGCATCTACATTTGGCTCAGGTCGTGGCCCACAGTCCTGGGACTGAGTCCCACATTGGGCTCCCTGGTCAGTGGGGAGCCTGCTTCTCCCTCTGCCCCTCCCCCTACTTGTGCTTGCTCCCTCTCTGTCAAATAAATAAAATCTTAAAAAAAGATGAAGGAGAAGAAGAAGTTGAAGAAGGAGGAGGAGGGGGAGAAGGAGAAGTAGAAGAAGAAGGAGAGGAAGAGGAGGAAGGAGAACTGGTGCCAGGGAAGGTCTAGCCAGGGCTTGAAGGTGGTGGCTATAGGATGGTGAGGGACTGGAGGTGGTTCAGGCGGTAGCCCCAGGGGCAGAAAGGGCATGGTCTTCACCAAGGAGGGCCGGCAGAGGGCCTTTTCGATACAGGACCCCTCACTCACCTGTCACAGACAGTCACCGTGGGCCTGCGTCTCACCCCCGGACAGTGAGAGTGCACAGGGAACAGACCTTCGAGGAGGTAATCCCCGGCGAGGCTGAAGTCAGGAGACAGTTCTGTGTTGTGGCAGCTGAGGGCCCAGCAGCAGGAGAGGGAGAGCAGAAGGCTGACCAGGTGAGCTGCCAGGAGTGACATGCTGGCCAAACGCTCCTCTGCCTGCCATGGCCGAGCAAAGCTCTCTGACCACGTTGCCGTTTAAGTAGAATAGAGAGCAGCCGCCCAGATGCTTCCCAATTTCATGCCTATGTCAGGGGTGGGGCTGGAACCCAGTCATAGGAGCCTGGCTGCTTGCCTTGGCCTTCTGGGCCTGTGGTCCTTCTCAGGAACTGGGCAGGGGGAAGGCACGGATGCAAACCAGGTGGCAGCCACTGACCCTTCCTTGGCATGCTTGTGGCTTCTGTCCTTGCTCTGGTGCCTGTGGTTTCACCTGGCTCAGAAAGGGAGCCCCAGGGGCACCTGGCTGGCTGCCTGGGTTAAGCAGCTGACTCTTGATCTTGGCTCAGGTCTTGATCTCAGGGTCTTGGGTTAAATCCCCATGCTGGGCTCCACCCTGGGCACTGATCCTACTTAAAGAAACGGAGATAGGGAGCCCTGGCATTTGAGGGGGATGGTGGTCAGAGACAGGAGGCAGGGACAAAGCTTCTCTGGGGGACAGAATGTGGAGGCTCCTGTGGATTTTATTTTATTTATTTTTAGAAGATTTAATTTATTTGACAGAGAGAGAACCAGGGAGCACAAGCAGAGGGAATGGCAGAGGGAGAGGGAGAAGCAGGCTCTGCATTGAGCAGAGAGCCATATGCGGGGCTCGATTCCAGGCCCCTGGGATCATGACCTGAGCTTAAGGCAGGCGCTTAACCATCGGAGCCACCCAGGCGCCCTGAGAGCTGTGGATCTTAGAATTTTTTACCCGGGCCTCAGTTTACTAAATGAGACATAGCTTTGAGTTGACCTCCTCCCAGCCTGTTTTCTGACACTGAAATTTTGAGTGAATCGTGGTGGGTTTGCCTTGTTATCCACCGGGGCTCCGTTCAGGCCGAAGACAACTGCATGCAAACACAGTATGGAAATAGACCGGGTTTGCTTAAACCGCCAATCCTGGTTCTTTTTCTGCAAGAAAAAAAATTCCAAGTGCATTTCCGGAGTGGTGGCCCAGGACTCAAAGCGGGGTATCTGGCCGGGGTGGGGCTTTTGCATAATGTAAATAGGGCCCGCGGAGGGATGGCCCGGAGGGGTGTGGCCAAGGCTGAGGCCCCGGAATCCCCAGGCCCGCGGGAGCCCCGGAGGGGCCAGTGGAGGCCCAGGTGCGCTGCCCGGACCGACCCACCCCCCGGTAGAGAGCGCTCGCGGCTCCAGGACGCTTCTTTCAGCCTCTCGACGGGCCGCGGGGCGGAGCGACTGGGTCTCGCGAGATTCTCGCGCGGCAGGCGCCGGAGGCCAGCATGGCTGACTCGCAGCTGATGCTGAAACGGGGTCCTTTCCGCTCCACGTGGCTGCGTGCCCGTAAGACTCGGACACAGCTCGTTCTCAGCCGCCGGCCCCGCCGCCGGCTCGGGACCCTGCGCTGGTGCGGCCGGAGGCGCCTGCGGCGGCGGCTGCTGCAGGCTCAGGCAGCCGGCGCGGACTGGCGGGAGAGCGGCTGCCTGGTGTCGCGCGCGGCGACCCGGAGGCCCAAGAACGCGGCCTCCAGCCGGTCTCCGGCCGCAGCCCCCGCCCCGAGCGGCCCCGCGAGCCTCCCCATACCGCCGGTGCGGCCAGCCGGCCCGGGCCGCGCACTGCTGCTGCTGCCGCTCGAGCAGGTGGGTCGCGCCGGAGGGGCTGGCAGAAGACCCTGCCGGCTCTGCATGTTCTCCGGCGCAGGTGGAGCGCATTCCTCCTGGCGGTGGTGCTGAGCGGGGGGACCAGGACCGACCCTGCGGTGGGATTCTAGGTTTTCAGAGCTGAAGGGGGTAGTGGTAAATAATACTAGTAGGTCCCATTTACTGGGTGCTTGGAAAATGCCGGGCTGTGTGTTGTACGTGTTTCAGGCTTGCGAAGCCTTTTACTACTCCTAGCTCCTGTGCAGTCGTTACGTTATTTCCGGAAGTTTACGGACGAAGACAGTGAGATACAGCAGAGGTAGCTTGATAAGAGGGGCGCGGTAGAGGCAGAGCTGGTGTTCAGACAGGCGCAGCCGGAGTGCTCCTCACTTGGACGCTGCTCTCCGAGGTCTTCCTCCAGTGCAGGAGGAAAGTGGCTGGCAGTGGGCCTTGGTGGAGGTAGGGATCCGTGAGAACGGCAGACCCAGTTCATTGGGACCCCCTCGTTCGTGTGTCCGGATACACCAGCTATCTCTCTAGCTGTCCTGGGATGTGGAATTAGGTTAGAGAGGTTGAGTACCCGATGGTCACCTAGTTACTTGGAAATCCCCTCCCCTTGGGTATGTGAATAGCAGTTAAGAGTTTAAAAAACTAAAAAAAAAAAAAAAAAAAAAAAGAGGGGATGCCTGGCTGGCTCAGTGGGTGGAGCATGTTACTTTTGATCTCAAGTTGTCACTTCCAGTCCCATCTTAGGCATAGAGTTTAGTTAAAAAAAAAAAAAGTTTAGAAAGTTTCAGTCTCCAGCAACAGAATTTGTAACGTCACAGTTTCCTTTCTTTGCCCTTCTTTGATAGGGTTTTACTTTTAGCGGGATCTGTCGTGTGACTTGCCTCTATGGCCAGGTGCAAGTGCTTGGCTTCACCATCGGCCAAGGCCAGCCTGCCCGAGAGGTCTTCTCTGCCTACACGCACTCTCGCTTGACTATCAATGCCGTTCATTATTCCATGCCTGAGAAAAGCAAGAAGGAGATGAAAAGGGAAGCCCGAGCTCTGCTCAGATCTCATCTTAATCGGGGTAAGGAAAAAAACTGGATAATTTCCTGTAAGTATATTACAATAAGGCTGCTGTTTTTAGATCCTTCCTATTGCCAAGACATGGCACACTCTTATGTCTCTCTTTTTTTTTTTTTTTTTTTAAAGATTTTATTTATTTATTTGATAGACAGAGATCAGAAGTAGGCAGAGAGGCAGGCAGAGAGAGAGAGAGGAAGGGAAGCAGGCTCGCTGCTGAGCAGAGAGCCCGATGCGGGGCTCGATCCCAGGACCCTGGGATCATGACCTGAGCCGAAGGCAGAGGCTTAACCCACTGAGCCACCCAGGCGCCCCTCTTATGTCTCTTTTTAAAGTGAAACTAGTTTTCACCATTTTACAGATGAGAAAAATGGCCCCAGGCCACACAACTAGCTACTGTGTAGCAAAAGCAAACCTGGATTGACTTCTCCATCCAGGTGTGTTCCTTGTGTGCAGTGTGGTTTCCTGAAGAAAGCTTTCGAACATAATTCCCGCTCTCAAAAAGTTGACAGTTCAGCCGAGGAGAAGGTGGTCCTAAAACAGTGTAGAATTTAATGGAGTTACTATTTCTAAGGTAGTTTATTATTCTCTTCACAGATGACAGATGTTGGTTGATGAAGAATTTTTCTCCTCTGTGTTCCATTGTGATGCTAGAACAACTGAAAACCTCCACTGTGAACTTCCTAGTCAGCCATCCAGGGTTATCTTACGTTTTCGTACAAGAGGTAGGACCAGTTTTCATTCAGTTTTGCTAATTATTTTCATAGGAAAAGTCATGTCAGCTGACTATGGGATGCCCCCTCGGAAGATCAGTGTTGTAGGTTGTACACAGTGTCATATGTGAGTACAGTAAAATAGCGTTGAAAGGCATATCATGAAAAACATTGTCTCCCCTTCCGTGTGAGTTTTATTCCCCCGTGGAAGCCACCTTTTCATATTGTAGGTGTTTAAATGCTTTTTGGAATTTTTACGTTATTTCTTTATGTTTTTCTGTTTTTTGTTTTGAATTTTAAGTACAATCTACCCCTCAGTGTGGGGCTTGAACTCATGACCCGAAGATCAAGGGTTGCATGCTCTACTGACTGCAGCTCGGTGCCCTGCCTGTCGGAAATTTTAAAATGGTTATCATTTTTTTTTTTTTTAAGATTTTATTCATTTGACAGAGACACAGTGAGAGAGGGAATACAAGCAATGGGAGAGAGAGAAGCAGGCTTCCTGATGAGCAGGGAGCCTGATGTGGGGCTCGATCCCAGGACCCTGGGATCATGACCTGAGCCTAAGGCAGACGCCTAACAAACTGAGCCACCCAGGCGCCCCTAAAAATGGTTATCTTTTTATCTTGATTTATTAACTTGAGATAGTGTAAATTTCCTCTATGAATGTACTTCAGTGTACTTAATAATTTCTCCCATCTCTATTTTCACCTCCCAAGTTTTTGCTGACCATGTCACTGATTTCTTTTTTAAATTTTTTTTTTAAATATTTATATTTTTTATTAACATATAATGTATTTGTTTCAGGGGTACAGGTCTGTGAGTCATTAGTTCACAATTCACAGTGTTCACCATAGCACATACCCTCCCCCATTGTCCATCACCCAGCCAACCCCCACCCCATTCCAGCATCTCTCAGTTTGTTTCCTGAGATTAAGAGTCTCTTATGGTTTATCTCCTTCTCTGGTTTCATCCCATTTCATTTTTTCCTCTCCTCCCCCATCATCTTCTGCCTTGTTTCTCAAATTCCACATAATCAGCGAGATCATATAATAATTGTGTTACTCTGATTGACTTATTTCATGTTACTAATTTCTTAGTCCAATTCTGCGGCTTTAATTGTCTCCCTTGGGCCATACATTGAACCTAATCTGCGGGATTATGAGGCTGACTGGATGTGAGATGGGGAAAAACCGAGGAATACATGCTTTTGGGTGCAGGGGGTTACTGAAATGGGGGCATGTGGGAGGGGCAGATTGAGATCTTCACCTTGACATGCCTGTTAGACATTCCACTGGAGTTGTCCTGTGGGCATTTGCACATGTGAGTCTGGAGTTAGGAGCTTTCCGCAGAGTGGCCCAAAGGCCGAGAGGTAGGATAATAACACCAAGGAAGATGATAAAGAGAGACAAGGGGGTTCAAAGTCACAGCCCTTTGGCACTCCCAAGAAGAGGTCTAGATGAGGGAGCAGAGAGACTGAGAAGAGGGGTCACCGATGTTGGAGGAAAACCAGGCAACTGTGATCAGGAAGTCTTCAGAGGAGCTGGAAGTGAACAGTTGTGTCACTTGCCGCTGGTGGTAGTTGGGGCCCGAGGACAGAGCTGGGAGGTAGGAGCCTTTTTCGGACAAGCACAGGGGCAGTAGGCTACTGAGGGGGTGACCTCCCCACATCAGGGTCAAGAGCCTAGGGAGGGAGGAACTCTCGGCTTTAATAGTAAGGGATTTTGCTTCTGTAGAGTTTAGCTGTAAAGGGAAGGGAAGAAATGACACGGTAATTGGAGAAGTGTGGCCAGAGTTTTGGTTTTATGCTAAAATGGATGTAAAACCCGCCACGTTTGAACACAACAAGTGGGAATGGTCAGAGCGGGGAGGGTGCTAAGGACGCAGCGGAGGGAGGTGAGGGCGGAAGTGAGGCCACTGAGGGAGGGCCTCTGGCTCTGGTGTCTGTGGGAGGGGCCGGCCTGGAGAGCTCTGGCAGCTCACCCGAGTAGCTGGTGCGCACACAAGTTCTCTTTTGATTGTCTCGTTCCTCTCTGGGAAACGGGTCAGGGCCATCTCTGAGTGGGAGCAGAGCTAGTGGGCAGGTGTCGGGTTGGTAGTGAGCGGAGAAGGCACACAGCGAGCGTGGGGGCGTGAGTAGACTGTTCCCACGGTGTCCGTTTCATCTAGCGCAGACCCAGTAGCCCGGTGAGGGCCGTCGGGGGGGAAATGGGAACCCCGTGTCACCAGGCCTTTGCCTCTTGCAAGTGAAGGTTCCAAACACTTTGATACTCGGTTTTCATTCATTGTCGGCTTAATTTTTTTTTCTGGGACTTCACCACCACTGTTTATATTCCTAATGCTCCTGCTTGGGTAACTCCCCCCCCACCCCACTATGTGTTAATACGTTGTAGAGTTATTTTTTCATACAAGGCAGTGACCTTTATATGATGTCATTTCACAGGATACCCTTATTTTATCCTCCGTGATTGATAGTTGAGCACAGTACAGAGTTTTCCCTCGAAACCTTGAAGGCCTTGCTCCTCTGTTTCCTCGAATCAAGAGTTGCTGATAGGAACAGATTCTTGTTCCTTTTATGTCTTTACCCTGCGGTTGGTGAATTGCATGAGGATATGGTCGTGAGTGGGTCCCTTCCTTGATCTCTTCACCATGGAGGCCTTGTTCCCTCCGAGCCCCGCCGGCCGCAGCGAGGGCCTGCTCCTCCATTCTGTGGGTTGGTTGGTGGCTTCCTGGTGCTTCTGCTGGAGCGCTCGTGGGCATAGTGGCCTGTCTTCAGCCTTCTTCCAGCCCGGTCTGCACGTGTTCCTTGTCTTTTTACCTTATGTCTTTGGAGACGGTCTTGATTTTGTTCTAAAGCACCAACCTGTTCAACATGTATGGTCTCTGTTGGATTGTCCTTGTGGCAGCTGCTTTTTTTTTTTTTTCATCTTTATTTTTTTATTTTTTTATAGACATATAATGTATTTTTATCCCCAGGGGTACAGGTCTGTGAATCGCCAAGTTTACACACTTCACAGCACTCACCATAGCACATACCCTCCCCAATGTCCATAACCCCAGCCCCTCTCCCCACCCCCTCCCCCCAGCAACCCTCAGTTTGTTTTGTGAGATTAAGAGTCACTTATGGTTTATCTCCCTCCCAATCCCATCTTGTTTCATTTATTCTTCTCCTACCCCCTTAACCCCCCATGTTGCATCTCCACTTCCTCATATCAGGGAAATCATATGGTAGTTGTCTTTCTCCGATTGACTTACTTTGCTAAGCATGATACCCTATAGTTCCATCCATGTTGTTGCAAATGGCAAGATTTCATTTCTTTTGATGGCTGCATAGTATTCCATTGTGTATATATACCACATCTTCTCTATCCATTCGTCGGTTGATGGACATCTAGGTTCTTTCCACAGTTTGACTATTGTAGACATTGCTGCTATAAACATTCGGGTGCACGGGCCCCTTCGGATCACTATGTTTGTATCTTTAGGGTAAATACCCAGCAGTGCAATTGCTGGGTCGTAGGGTAGCTCTATTTTCAACTTTTTGAGGAACCTCCATGCTGTTTTCCAGAGTGGTTGCTCCAGCTTGCCTTCCCACCAACAGTGTAGGAGGGTTCCCCTTTCTCCGCATCCTCGCCAGCATCTATCATTTCCTGACTTGTTAATTTAGCCATTCTGACTGGTGTGAGGTGGGATCTCACTGTGGTTTTGATTTGTATTTCCCTGATGCCGAGTGATATGGAGCACTTTCTCATGTGTCTGTTGGCCATCTGGATGTCTTCTTTGCAGAAATGTCTGTTCATGTCTTCTGCCCATTTCTTGATTGGGTTATTTGTTCTTTGGGTGTTGAGTTTGCTAAGTTCTTTATAGATTTTGGATACTAGCCCTTTATCTGATATGTCGTTTGCAAATATCTTCTTCCATTCTGTCAGTTGTCTTTTGGTTTTATTAACTGTTTCCTTTGCTGTGCAAAAGCTTTTGATCTTGATGAAATCCCAGTAGTTCATTTTTGCCCTTGCTTCCCTTGTGGCAGCTGCTTTTTAAATTTGGACACCTTTTCCTTCCCTGCGGGGTCTCCTGCAGAGGTGATGGCAGCTTGGAAGTGCGTGTGAGCCAGGAGGACAGGCACGGAAACGACTGGAGGAGTAGCTGACGATACTCCCTGAAGGGGTGGCTGTGGGGGGGCAAGAGGGGGCCTCAGGTCTACCTTTCCTAGTTCAATGACTGTTTGAGGCTTAATAATTTAGAACTGGAGGAAGAAATGTGCACTTGTGTTCATGTTTTCTTAAAACTCAAATTGTTAATTTCAGAGTCCAACCTTCCAGATTAACTCTGAACATTTAGCCCTGAGGTCTGTTGGTATTAGAAGAGAGAAGAAGAAAAACGGCCTTCGTTTGACAGAGAGTGCCCTGTCGGCCATGGAGGAGTTGGTCACCGTGTCCTGTGGTGAGTGACCTGGTGATAAAGGGAGCATTCATCCCTCAGGGCCTCAGAGAATCACGAGTTACCTGTCGAGCCCTAAAGTGGGTGGCTAATTTGAGGCGTCAATGTTTGTTTTGCCTCCAGAAGAAGTAGACGGCTGCCCTGTCATTCTCGTTTGTGGCTCTCAAGACGTTGGAAAGTCAACATTTAATAGATACCTCATTAACCAGTTGTTAAACAGGTAAGAGTGTTTTCATTTTTGTTAAGATTTTTATTAGATTTGGGTCATGAGATAGGATTTTTGATTTAAGAAACTAGACGGGAATCCATCCTGACTTCACGGCGGGGACCGTCTCCCAAATCTGTCTGAAGGCGCTCAGAGGGGGGACGGCACTCCCTGTTGAACCGTGCTTTGGACTGAGGCACATCGGCCTCTCGGGGTGAATTGATCGTGTCACTTACCAGTATCTTTGCGAAAAGAGTCTCCTGGTCTCAGAATCTGTGTTTGTCCATACCCAGAGGTTCAGAGTAGGGAGCCGTTCTGTTGTGTTTTGAACATCGGGTTTTAGGAAAGACAGAGTTGTATCCGTATTGTGAACGGGTACTGTGACCATGCCTGCATCACATTTTCTTGTTATATTTGTTTTTATGTTGTTTGCCTCTTTGGAGCATTCTACCTAATAGGCTGCATGGGGTGGGTTGGGTCTGCGTATTGCATAAGGTCTATAAGATCTGATTTATTCTTGTGACAGGGGAAAGCTAGTTGAGATTTACTTTATTTCTTTCAAATTTTCAGTATTTCCTGCGTTGACTATTTGGAATGTGACCTGGGACAGACAGAATTTACACCTCCAGGTTGCATTTCTTTACTTAATATTACGGAGCCAGTTCTAGGTATGTATTACACATTTCTTTCATGTTTTGGTTTTATAAAACTCAAGTATATTGGGGCGCTTTGGTGGCTCAGTGGGTTAAAGCCTCTGACTTTGGCTAAGGTCATGATCCCAGGGTCCTGGGATCGAGCCCCGTGTTGGGCTCTGCTCAGCAGAGAGCCTGCTTCCCTCTCTCTCTCTGCCTGCCTCTCTGCCTACTTGTGATCTATGTCTGTCAAATAAATAAATGAAATCTTTAGAAAAAAAAAAAAAGAACCTCAAGTATAATGATCTTGAAAAAACCAAAAATTTAAAGGACGTCTGGCTGGCTCAGTTGGTAGAGCATGTATCCGTCGGTCTCGGGGGTGTGAGTTCAAGCCTCACGTTGGGCATGGATCCTACTTTAAAAAAATTAAAAACAGGGGCACCTGGGTGGCTCAGTTGGTTAAGAATCTGCCTTCAGCTCAGGTTGTGATCCCAGGGTCCTGGGATTAGGCCGTTTATCAGGCTCCTTGCTCGGCAGGAGCCTGCTCATCCCTCTTTCTTTGCCTCCCCTCCTGCGCTCTCTCAAATAAATACAAAATCTTGAAAAAAAAATTAGTAAATAAAAACTAGAAAAGAACGTAGAAAAGTGAACATTTCCCTTATCACACTCATGGTCTTCCCATAAGTCTTCTAGCCTCTTAAAAATACTATGATACTTTTCTAGGGTTCTGTTTGGGTACATGGAGCTGATAGCCATTGAGTTTTGTATAAACCAGAAACACGTCTTCCTGTGGTGTGCCCGTCGTATGTAAACCCGTATGATATTGTAAACCAAGAAATTACATTAACACGATACTGTTAGCTTTATTCAAAATTCATGAGTTACCCTACTAATAATGTTCTTTGCTGGTTCAGACTCCAAACCAAAGTCCCATGTTGCTTTTTTTTTTAAATGGTAAAATATGCACAACACGATATTTACTGTTTGAACTGTCGCCCCGCGCATAGCTCAGTGACGTTCAGTCACTCACAGTGTCACATACCCTTCACCCCTGCCTGTATCGGAAACTTCTCCGTCATCCTGAGCTGAAGCACTGTCCCTGTTAAAGAACACTTGTGGCTCCCGCCCACCTCTCTTCTACTCTGTCCCTGTGAATTTGTGCACTCCACACACCTCATGTCAGTGAAAACAGACTACTTGGCCTTGTGTCTGTTTTTTTTTTTTTAACTAAGCATTTTTTTTTCTTTTTGCTTATTTTTTTATGTTTTTATCTCAGTCCAATTAGTTAACACAGCATCATGTTAGTTTAAGGGTTACCGTACAGTGACTCAGCACTTCCATGCGTCCCCCACAATGCCCTCCTCCATCCCCATCCCCTAATTTCCCTCATCCCCAGCACCCTCCAAGCATCAGGGTTTTAAGATAGTCCATATCGTAGCAGATAATAAAAATGTATTTCCTTGTGGGCGAGTATCAGTCTGGTGTGTACACGTGTCACACTTTGTTGATGTGTTCAGCTGTTCATGGACAGTGGGACTGTTGTCACCTGGTGGCTACAGGGAATCGTGCTGCTGTGAACATCCGCTTACGGTTACCTGTGCAAGTCCCTGCTTCTAGTTCTTTCAGCGAGACGCCAGGAGGGGAATTGCTGGGTCGTGTGGTAACGCCGTGTCTAATCTTTTGAGAAACCACCAGCTTGTTATTCACGGTGGCTGCACTTTGCAACCGTGGGTGCGCGGGGCTCTCACTTCTCCACGTCTCGTCATCTGGGTGACAGCCTATCAGGTGTGCGTCAGTAACCCACTGTGGCTTTGATTTGGATTTCCCTGATGGCTGATGGAACTGAGCCTCTGTTCCCATGCTTGCTGTTCCTGTGCTTTTCTAGATCTTTGGAGAAATGTCTGTGAAGTCCTTCGCCCATTTCTGAACTGCCTTGTTACTGAGTGTAGGCATCGTTTGTTCTAGGTGTTGATCTCTTCTCAGATAAACAGTGTGCAAATGATTTTTCCCATCCTCTAGGTCTTATTTCTTTTTTTTTTCCCCTTCTTTCTGTTTTTTTGACAGTGTCCTTTGATAGACAAAAGTTCTTAATTTTTATGAAACCCAATTTCTTTTTTCTTTTATTGACATTCTCTTGATGTCATATCCAAGTGTTACTAAGTCCAATATGATTAAGATTTTCCTGATGTTCTTGGAGTTTGGTAAGTTTTAACTCTTATATTTAATAAGTCTTTGGTCCATTCTGAATTAATTTTTGTATATGATATAGGGAAAGCATCCAATGTCATTTTTTTGCATGTGGATATCCAGTTTTCCAATTATCATTTGTTTGTCCTTTCCCCCATGGCATGGTCTTGGCACCCTTGTGGGAAAGCATTTGATCTTGCATATGAGGGCCTATTTCTGGGCCCTCTATTTTATTCCACTGGCCTATATGTCTGTCTTTATGCCAGTTCCCTGCTAATGGAGGCGCGTGAGTCCTCCCAGCTTCATTCTTTTTCAAGATCGTGTGGCCATTTGGTCCCCTTGCAATCCCGTATGAATCTGAAGATAACTTTTTCCATTTCTGTGAAAAAGGCTGTTGGATTTTGGTTAGGGATTGCGTTGACTGAATCTTTAGCTCGCCTTGGGTGACACTGGCATCTCAGTTAATGATAAATCTTCCCGTACATGAATACAGGATGTCTTTCCAGTTTCTTAGGTCTTTTTAAATTTTTTTCAGCAATTTTTTTTTTTTTAAAGATTGTGTTTATTCATGAGAGACAGAGAGAGAAGGAGGCAGAGGGAGAGGGAGAAGCAGGCTCCCCACTGAGCTTGAAGTCTGATGTGGGGCTCAATCCCAGGACCCTGGGATCATGACATGAGCTGAAGGCAGACACTTCACCAACTGAGCCGCCCAGGCGCCCCCCCACCTCATCTTTTTTTAAATAGTCACAGATTCAAACTCTTACCTTCATCTTCCTAGGACCACCTTTCACCCACCAGAGGACACCACAGAAAATGGTGTATTATGGGAAGCCGTCTTGTAAAAACAACTATGAGAATTACATTGAGATAATAAAGTATGTGTTCAGTTCCTACAAGAGGGAGTCCCCTCTCATCGTCAACACCCTGGGCTGGGTGTCAGGTAAGCCCCCGGAGGCGTGTGTGGCCCGAGAGGAGGGGCAGCATGAACGGCTCTGGCTTCAGGCAGTAGCACCGGGGCCCAGTTTTAGGAGACTCTTCCTCGTGGTCCTTTCTTTGTCCCAGAACAGCTGTGCCTCTTTCTCATGGCAGCCTGTCACTGTTTGATTAGCACGCCAGCTGCTTGTGTCCTCTTCCTCACAGACAAAGGGCTTCTGCTTCTCATCGATCTCATCCGGCTGCTGTCTCCCAGCCACGTCGTGCAGTTCAGCTCTGGCCGGAGCAAGTACATGCCGAACCTGACCCCTGACTACGTGGACGACATGGATGGCCTGTACACTAAGAGCAAGTCCAGAGTCCGCAACAGAGGTTTCCAGCTGGCGGAGTTCACGGAGAGTTTGGAGTTTGCCGACGAAGAAAAGGAGAGTCCAGTTGTGTTCACCGGACATAAACTGATGTGTGTCCAGTCGGACTTTGCGTTTAGGAAAACTCCAAGAAACAGGTAATTAAACCGTCATGGCTGGAGATTGTAGTTCTCTGCAGTAGAACGAGGCCTGCTGCCCTCGGTTCCTTAGAAGGAATGAGTCCTCCAGGGGTTTTTGAATCTGTCTCACAGCCCCGTGTTCATGAAGGAGAATCTGTTCTTTTCTGAGCTGTTACTGTCCCAACGGAAACACAGGCAGCCTCAATTTGAGGGGGTGTGACTTTTCAATTTTCCCACTTTATGTTGGTGTTAAAGCAGTAAACATGTGGTAGAAACGGTACTTTGGATTTTGGTCTTTTCCTGGGCAAGCACGATGCTGTATGGCGCTCTGCCCTGAGGCTGGGTGGTGGCAGTGGTCCACGGCTCCGGGTCAGCCCGGACGGTGAGCCACGGGGACAGATGCCATTCTGCACCCACACAACATAGGCTCTGTGTTCGGTGATTCTGCCCAGTGGAGGCTAATGTGAGTGTCCTGAGCTCGTTTAAAGTAGGTGAGGCTGGGTGCCTGCATGGCTAAGTCCTGAAGCCTCTGTCTTTGGCTCAGGTCATGATCCCAGGGTCCTGGGATCGAGCCCCACATTGGGCTCCCTGCTTGACGGGAAGCCTGCTTCTTCTCCCTCTGCCACTCCTCTTGCTTGTGTTCCTTCTCTTGCTGTGTCTCTCTGTGTCAAAGAAATAAATAAAATATTTAAAAAAAAAATAAAGTAGGTGAGACTGAGTTGTGACGTTCGGTAGGCGAGGTATCTTAAAGGCATTTTTTTTTTTTTTTAAGATTTTATTTATGTATTTGACAGACAGTGACCACAGGTAGGCAGAGAGGCAGGCAGAGAGAGGGGAGAGGGAAGCAGGCTCCCCGCTGAGCAGAGAGCCTGATGCAGGTCTCGTGGGGCTTGATCCCAGGGCCCTGAGTTTGTGACCTGAGCTGAAGGCAGATGCTTAACCCACGGAGCCACCCAGGTGGCCCTATAAAGGCATTTTTGATATCCGGTATTTTCCCCTCTTTGGGGTTTCTGAGGGTGGAACCACCTTGTAAACCGAGGAAGACCCGTATCCAGAGGGGGCCTGCAGCTCTGGTTTCCAGGAGTATTTGAAGGAGAGTCTTTACAGGTCATGTTCTCCAGTGGGGCTGTGGAGAGGGTCTGCAGGCGTTATGGTGGGACTGTGTAGTCTTTCGGTGCATAACCCGTGTAATGACTGATGGACTCTGTCCTGAGGTTAAAGCTCTGCTTCATCCCGATTTGCTTCGCAGAGAGTCCCACAACAAGGTTCTTCGGGATTTGGCGGTACTCGGTTACCTTGGCCAGCTGCAGCCTCCCGTGCCAAAACCGCTGTGTCCCTTACATGGCCTGACGCCCTATCAGGTAACCCGAACTTGGACAAGGAATTCTCTGTGGATGCACCGAGCCCTTGTGGGGCTGCCAGCGCGTGTTCTCTAGCTGCGGGGTGACGCTTCACTCGCCCCCCCCGTGGTGTGGGTTCTGTGACGGCCTCAGTTTACAGACAGGGGTGCAGTGACCTCGCTCGAGAGTCCGTGCTCTCAGCGGCTGCCCTGTGTTGGGCACAACTGTGCTTCTCTGCTGCTCTAGAGCGTCTGGCTGACCCCAGAGGTGGCACCGGGCAGTCCAGCTCCGGTGCTCCCGCTGTGGAGCTGGCTGTGAGTCCATATCTTAGCCAGAGCACGGAGGCCGTGCCAGAGCTCATAGGACAGCTCTATGGTTTCAGTCAGTGTTCGCAGTGATTCCTGGCATCTGGAGACTTCTCTCTTTTCTTTTTTTAAGTTTCCTTTATTTTATTGTTTTTTTTTTAAATGTAGTCTCATACCCAATGTGGAAATCCAATGCCATGTTCAAACTCAGGGCCCTGAGATCATGACCTGAGCTGAGATAAAGAATCAGGCACTTAACCAACTGCACCTCCCAAGGAGCCCCCCAGAAACCAGTCTTTTTTTTTTTTTTTAGATTTTATTTATTTATTTTGACAGATCACAAGTAGTCAGAGAGGCAGGCAGAGTGGGGGGGGGGAGCAGGCTCCCCGCTGAGCAGAGAGCCTGATGTGGGGCTCGATCCCAGGACCCCGAGATCATGACCCGAGCTGAAGGCAGAGGCCTAACGCACTGAGTCACCCAGGAGCCCCCCAGAGACCAGTCTTGAAAGCATTTCATATTACTGTGAAAAGTGGATTCTAGGGTTAAGTGGATTCTAGTCGGTTAAGTGTCTGCCTTCGCCTCAGGTGAAGATCCCATGATCCTGGGATTGAGCCCCACATCGGGCTTCCAGCACAGCGGGGAGCCTGCTTCTTCTGCTCCCTCTCCCTCTGCCACTCCCCTTGCTTGTGCTCTCTCACTTTCAAATAAATTTAAGTCTTTTAAAAAAAAAGAAAGAAAGAAACGACCATGATACTGGAATTCCAGATGTCAAAAGATTAGAATAGCACTAGGCAGCATTTCCTAAATGCTTACCATCTGCCGTGCTCTGTTCTAAGCCTGTGGTACCTTCTTTACTCACAATGGCTTTGTTATTTCCCCATTTTACAGATGCAAGAACCGAGGTCAGGGATCCTGAGTCAGCTTGCCTGAGGTGGCTAGTAAAAGTGGGGTCTGGGACTGGAGCCCAGGCAGCCAGACTCTAGAGCCCAGAGTGTTCACCCTCCGCTGTCCATACTGAGCGCTCCCTGTGTGCGGCGTTCTGCTGAGCACTGGACATGGCTGGTGGATTCCTGGCTGCCCGCGGAGGGAGGAGCTCTTTCATTCCCTGATTACAGCCTCGGAGACGCTGGCCTGAGGTCACCCTCGGGGGGCACTCCTGAGGCAGGAGCAGTGGGGCTGGCCCACGAGGACGTGTCTCCCAGGCCTGGTGGTGAGATCGTCTCCCCTGGAGACACTCAGGCAGTTAGTGGAATGGGGTTTTGGTCAGTGGGGTCGTTTACCCTGAGATGCTCTACAGCGGACCTTGAAGCTTATACACCAGTAACTGTATCTGCCTGTTACTATTTCAAATTTGGTTTTGGAATCTAAGCAAAAAACCAAATACTTCTGTACTTCACAATTTGGGAATTGCCAGAGAGCTACACGTTAAAGGTCATTACAGTTGACTGTTACACAGCGCCAGTTTGAGTTGCGCGGCCCCCTTCACGTGGGGTTTTTTGATAAATACAGTCAGTCCATGTTGTAAATGTCTTCTTCCTTATGATTTTCTTAATGACTTTCTTTTCTCCAGCCCACTTTATTGTGAGAGTACAGTATGTGATACAACGCATAGAGTGTATGCTTATGTCATCGGGAAGGCTTCCGATCACCAGGAGGTTAAGTTTAACTTTAACCATCCTAGTTGTTAAGTTTTTTGGGGGGATGGTCAGAAGTGATTTGTCGACGTTGACTGCGTGGGGTGGGGAGTCAGTGCCTCTAGTCTCTGTGCTGTTCAGGTCTCCACTTGTGCTCCTGGAGTTCGATCCATTTTTCTTATTTCCGTATGTTCCATAGTGAAATGATGGAGGCTTTTTCTCACTGAACGGAGGTTTGCTTTCTGACATTAGGAGACCTCTCAGCGAGTGGGGTTTTCACGGTCCCCCTTGACTTCAGCGCATTTAGGGTATCCTCAGATTTGTGTCTTAATGTGTCTCCTTAGATAAGAAATGGATTTCTAGCGAGCGTTGGCCGGTGAGGAACGTCGTACGAATTTCCCAGGTTCTGTATATTAAAGTAGGGGAACGCTGACCGGGGTTCGTTAGCATTTCTGTTCCATTTAGATGCTTTTTGGTGGGCAGTTTGGCCAGGGTGACGTTAGATAGCGGCCTCGTCAACTTGTAAAAACCAGAAGTAGCTTTTCCAGTGGAATTAATAGAGGGAGGTGCGGATTTATTTTCCAGGTCCCTTTCAATGCGGTTGCGCTCCGGATTATTCACGCTGATGTCGCTCCCACCCATATACTATACGCTGTGAATGCCAGCTGGGTTGGTCTTTGCAAGATCCTGGATGATGTCAGAGGATACGCAAATGGGCCCATCCTACTCGCCCAGACTCCAATCTGTGATTGTTTGGGGTTTGGTGAGTCAAAGTAAAACATGTCTATATACCTACTGAATCGATCCCCTTCTCCAACTGTATATGGCTGGTCTTGACCTTGGAGCTGTCTCTCGGCTGGAGTGGTCAGAGTGTCTCTGGCTTCTAGACAGTGGGCCTGGGGGCTGGCGGGCAGGAAGGAAGCAGCATTTTCTCTGCTGCTCCTGCTAGCTCTAAATCTGGGATTTCTAAGGGCCTGGTCATGGCCTTCTTGTCCCTTGACATGTTTTCCCTAGGCCATCTGTCCACCTGCTAGGGCCCTAGATCCATCTTTAGGCTGACTTTCCACAGGATCGGCACAGCTGTATGTCCGAGCTCAAGGCCCCACTCACTTCTCCGCTTGGGTATCTCACTGGCATCTGAGACTTAGGTCCAAGACTGAGGTCCTAGTTTTCTCCCCAAATCCCCTCCCACGCTGCACCGTCTCCTGTTCCCGGGCCTGTGAGGAGTCCTTGGAAGATTCACTCTGGTGTTTACACCAGACCTCTGGGTCCACCGTGGCACCCCTTGCCTTCATTTGACACATCCAGGCCACTGGCAGGGGTGGGAGCTTGTGTCCAGAATCTGTCCGATGCCTCCGTCTCATCTCTTCTTACTCTGCCAGTCGGAGCCACCGCTGCTCTGCTGGGCTTGGCACTGTCGGGTGATCTGAGGACAGATGTGAGTATGTCACATCCTGGTGTTTCCCGTCACTCCGGCCCGGGCCTGTTGGCCTGGCACTGCTTTGCGCCCTTCCTCCTTCGCCAAGCCCGCCTCACGTGCAGTGACCCCCTGGCTCACTGAGGTCAGTAAATGTCAGGGTACGTTTCTGGAAGGGTGCTGGACCTAAGTAGCCGAAAATGAGCAAAACCCTTACATAAGACATAGACAACACGACTTGTGAAAAGTGTTTCCACAGAAGCTGTGTCACCTGGTACACACCATGAGGAAGGAACTGATGACAGGGAAAGGTTGAGTCTTTTGCGTGTTCCCCACGGTGGCTTTTCTTCCTGGCCTGGGTGTGCCTTACTTGAGACAGTCTGGGACGTCGGCAATAGCGCACTTCGGTTGCTCACGGCTGAACAAGGGAAGGGTTCCAAGAGAACTCGACCACTCCTGGCTAAGAGTGGTCATGTACTCCCATCCCTTGGAACTTTGTATTTTCAAAGTGAAACACAGTTGAAGTTGAAATTCTTACTTGAAAAGCCATTCTACAATTCTCAGTGGGAGGGAGGTAGAATATCTTCCAGAAAGGATTATTTGTGTGTGTTTTGTGTCTTCAAGGAATTTGTAGAGGGATCGACATGGAGAAGAGACTTTACCACATCCTCACTCCTGTGCCCCCGGAGGAGCTGAGAAATGTCAATTGTCTGCTGGTCGGGGCCGTTTCCATTCCACAGTGTGTCTTCAAGAGCCAGGTGAGTGCCACTCCCAGGGACAGCCCTGGAGGTAGCCAGAGAGCTCACAGCAACAGGTTATCGTGTGGGAACTCACACTTTGTTGAAGAGGCTGGATGAGGCAAATGGAGGGTCCAAGCGGCCTCAGAGGCTCGGGGCCATGAATGGCCATCATTGGTGGCCCAGAGCCCCAGGGTGGGGCCATTATCCCGGAAGCAGGTAATGGGAGGAGAGAACAAAGGTGGTCTCCCCAGGACTCCTTCCTGACGACGGTCTGTGGGTGTACCTGTGAGAAGGTCACGGGAAGGTCATGTTGGCTGAGGACATCCATGTGGTGGCCCGGGGAGGCGGTGGATATCCTCCCCTCTCAGCTGCTTGTCTTAACTTCTTTGAGAGAAACGCTTGCGCGCCCCCTTCTCCTGCTGGTCGCTGTGTCTGTGCAGTGGGATTGGACCGAACGGTGGCAGTCGCCTTTGTACCTGGGCCCGTTGGGTCGGGTGGACCCCTGCGGGAAGGGGAACCGGAGGTCTTAGGGGTGCGGGGACCTCACTTGGACTCTCCCTTTCCACCGTGTTTTCTGGGGAAGAGATGCAGCGCCGCAAACTCTGATGCGCAGGGTGGGTGTTTCCACGTGTTCTCTGTGTTTCTGTTTCAGCGCGGGCTGGAGGGGACAATACCTTACATCACCACCGATTATAACTGTAAACTTCCTGGAGCATCCGAGAAGATTGGAGCGAGAGAAACCGAGGAGACGTGTGAAGAGAAAGTGCACCCAAAACCCAAACTCTACCGAAAGATAAACTGATGCTGACATCGTCAGTGAGGGAAGGCGCTTTTCCCGGGAAAGCGGACCTCGTCTCCAGCCTGACGCCGGACTGATGGTGGTGGCGGGGAGTGGCGCGCATCTGTCGCAGACGGTGTCTCCTGTGCAACTCGTGGATCTGGAGTCAATTTAACTCTTTTGAAAGCTGCGTGACCTCGAGTTTTGCCCTAGTGTTCTGTATGCTGCTTCGTACTTACTGTCTTTTATTTTCTAAAGGGTCAAAGCAGCAGGGAGAAGTTTGTACACCATTAAAACAGAACACAGTCAGTTCCTCACAAAGCCCTTCAAAGACCTGGTTGGTGGAATCTGAATAAAAATAGGGAAACGGGGGCCACAAAAATCTACCAAAGAGGAAGGAAGGCTGGCCAGTGGATTCGCGAGCATAACAGGATGCGGGGGCTCCCCTGGTCCTTGCCCGGCGATGGCCGACAGGCAGGGGGTCCCGGCGGCAGGGTCTGCCTGTGGACGGTTGCCACGGGGGGTCACGCTCATTCCATGCTCCTCTGATGCCGTCCACACCCTCGTTCATTCCCGTGGTCCAGTGTTCAAAGGTTTCGTTTGGTCTGTTGAGTGTAATCAGGGTTTCGTAGATAAAACGATTGGACTCAAGAGTCATTCATCTTTTGTTTTTTTCCTCACCTGATGACTTTATGCTGAAAAAATTGCTCTCAAACCCAGGACACCTTTCCTAGGGTCTCTTTAGAACCAGCTCGGTCCTCACTGACCTCTCGTCTTACACTGAGGATGCGCGTAGGCTGCACTGGCACCGGGCTGTTTGGAAGAAGGACCATCAGAGCAGCACCTGGAAAGCCCCCTCTTGCCTTTGACGTCTGAACCGGACGGAACTTGCACCTGTGGACGACCTGGTGCCACTTAGCACTTCTCTGCGGGGTGGGGGGGCGGCTTCAGGAGGCTGGGGGTGATGCTGTTCTCCCGGATGGCTTTGAGGGAAATAGGGGAAACCCGTTCTTCATCGTCTCTCTGGTTGTCACAATTCTTGACCCTCCAGGGTCAGAGTGATTTCAGGAAACAAGAACCTTAGGCGGCGTCACGTCATTTGTCCATTTAAATCTGTGAGAGTCATACCGAGGTAGCGTTTCACACTCGTGGATTCAGCTTCCTACAGGCCACGTGGAAGGCTGGTTACTCGGATGTGGGTTTTAACATCCGTGTTCGCTTAAACGGTCATTGTCCTGTTTCTTTGGGTGACCCCTCGGCGTCTCAGAGACCCATGTTCCCATGTTCTCCCTGGAGCTCTGCCACCCCCCAGGGTTGGTTTCAACTCCCTAGAGACTGTTTAAGGTCTAACTTCATTGCGTCTTGTTTACATTTAAATTTACCTTGTGCCTGTTTTCTGTCTTGGTCTTGCCAAAATTTTGACAGACAATCTGCCACCCTCCTTCCCTAGTTCCTTGAGTCTTCACAGTGACTCTCTAGGAGACACACAGTGACACACTCTAGGTTCCCGCCGCAGGTCTCAGGAGCAACGTAGGTGGTGCCCCCGGCAATCCGGTCCAGGCAGGCTTGCCTTGGGCCTAATTTCCTGCCCCCCTCAAGGGTTTTGCCTGGGGAGGAGGCAGGCCTTGTCGCTAGAGGGAGCTGCCAGCCGCTGGTCTGGTGGCCCGTGGGGCGAGCGCGGCCCGGAGCCTGCCCTTCCAGAGACGAGGGCTCTGGCATCCTGGAGACTTGGCCAGCTCCGGGAGCCTGGTCAGACCCGCAGCCGTGCCGTCCACCCTGGATGTCTGTGCCTGTGATTGTTGATGTCCGCAGCTGGGGCTTCTTGTCGTTTCTACTGTCCTTTGGTTCAGAATATGGTGGTAAGTTCCACCCTTGAGTTGTTTTTAAATTAACAAAAACTCAGTTGTGTGTATGTGTGTGTGTCTGAGTGTGTGTGATTTTCAAAGTAGCACATGCTTAATTGAAGAAAACAATAACATGACTTAGAACTCAACAGTCCTGGCTGCTGATTTTGGGGTTCTCTAAAAGCAGTTCTTTAGAAGGGATCCCTCATAGGAAAGATAGATGGGAGAGTAGGTGACACGATTCTTGGATTCTGGGGTTTTAGTTTGTAAACAAAGGTCAGTTCCGTGCTGAAGTGGTGGCCCTTCTAGAGCGTGGCCTGGGATGGAGAGAGGGCAGGAGGACAGTCGAGCTGGCCCTGCAGGTGCCGTGAGTGTTTTCGAAGTCAGTCTGGAGGAGGCCTGTGGGGCGGGGCAGGGTGCGGCCTGGGCTGGGACCCCTGGGACCAGTGGCTGCTTCCCTGCGGCATGGGGGGATTTGAGCCTGAGGCGGGAGCACCCACTCGTGCAGGCCCAGGTTCCTGTGCTTGTGCCGGAGGGTGTTGTGTTTTTGTTTTCATTGTCTAGTTGGGAGTTTTATCCCTCAGGTTTGGACATGGCAATACGGTGGTCCAGGCAGCAGGCTTTGGTAGTAGAGCTCTGGGTCGGAACCCTGAGGGCCCGCAGGCCAGCCGTGGGACTTCGTGGGGGATACTCGACCTCAGCCTGCTGACGTCTTCAGAATGCTGGTGTCTGTTCCATGGGGTGCCTGTGTGCTGGGTGCGTGAGGACGGTCTGTACGTGGCGGGACAGAACCCCATCTTTGGCTAAATTGTAAACTCTGAGAAGGCAGGGACCAAGATTGTATTCCTCAGTCACATTGGGACGACGAAGAAACTAAATGTTGAAATCCACAGCCATCTCACCTGTCCTGCCTGCAGGCAGGTTCCCTCCACAGCATCTTCCAGCCTGGTGAGCCGTTGTCAGGGTGCCCCAGCGGGCCGGTTCCGGTCTTCCGTTAGCCCCGTGCCTGGCAGTTCTTCAGAAAACCCCAGGTAGCTGCTTTTAAAGTTGGACAAACCGTTTGCACGTGTAGAAAACGACTTTCAGTCACCGTCATGTAGGTAACCCAGGTCCCTGCCGTGATGCTGTGTTGTCTGGTGTTTTTCTAAATTCTGTGTGTGTTTTATAAAATTGGTGTCCTGCCGTATGTGTGGTTTTTTAATCCAGCTCTTTTCACTTCACTTGTGAACTTCTGTATCATTAAATATTTTTGAGAACATGCACTTAATTGTGTATTTTGTTACAGATACAGATCATTTTATTCCAGGAAATTATTTAAAACACTTGGGAGAAATTACAGCAAAAACTTTGGGGAAAACAAAGCAATGGCAGGGGAATCTGGGTGCCAGAGCAGAGAGGACAAGACACCTAGCAGATGCCTCTGCTCTTTTCCATTTCAGTATACATTTTTAAAGATTTATTTATTTATTTTGGGAGGAAGAGGGAGAAAGTGTGAGTGTGAGAGGGGGGAGAGGCAGAGGGAGAGAGTATCCCCAAGCAGTTTCCCCGCTGAGCGCAGAGTGTGACACAGGACTCGATCCCACGGCTCCAAATCACGACCTGAGCCGAAACCAAGAGCCAGAGGCTCAGCTGACCGAGCCGTCCCAGCGCCCCACCTTTTCACTGTTGGGTACAGTGGAAGTTTTTGGGGGGCCCAGGCTGTAAGTTGAAAGAAAAGGCTCTGTCTTCTGTACCATCTTTGAGCGTGTGCTGGAAGAGTTTTGCTGCTGGAGAAGTTCGAATTAAAAGAGGAGAGCCAGCCCGGGGCCTGTGCCCGCCGCTGCCTCAGCAAGTGCGGGCTCAGCAGCCCCATCCTCGCTCTCCCCGCGCAGGGCTGGCGGAGGCAGCAGGCGCTGGCCCGACCAGCCGGCCCGGACGGAGGCTGAAATAAATCTGGGGCCGCCTGTGCCGCTAGGGGCCTCTTCAGAAAGGCTTCGCTAAGTGGAATGATTTCCAAGGCTTTGCCAGGGGAAGAGTGGGGCAGAGTGGGGAGCCGGGCGGGCAGTCCAAAAAAACGCACTTGGAGGCGGGGGGGTGGCAGGTCCATCTGGGAATCCTGGGAGTCGGCAAACAGCTGAGCTGTGGGGCTGACAAGGAGTCCGGCCTGGCTGGGAAGCCTGGGGTTGCCATGGTGACGGGCGCTGATGCTCAGCGGGCTGTGGCTTGGAAGGTCTGGGCTGTGAATGTCTATCCGGCAGGGAGAAGCCACCAAACTTTCTGACCTTCCCCGAGGCCAGCCACCGGGAGATGCTCCTGGCCGTTGGGAATGCAGAGACAAGGGTCTTCAGGGACTTGCCCTCCAGGGAAGGAGGAGGGCCCCCACCATGGCAGCCAGCACTGTGCGAAGTCTGCTCCAGGGAGCAAATGGGTACTTGGGAATGGAAGCTCCACAGGGCGGAAACCACCAGCAAGGAAACTGTGAACCGTGGCCACAAAGTCTATAGGTTAAAATAGCGCCCAGGGGGCCTGTGTTGGAGGCGAAGCAAGTTGGCCAGGCTGAGAGCTCCCTGGTTTTCTGTGCCGACAGCTCAGCAGGAGAAATTCAGCCTGGAGCTGGGTGTGGGAGAAGCCCTCTGCTGCTGGGTCTGTAGCTGGGCAGAGGCGCAGAGCTGTGGGTCTAGCATGCGGCTTGAGAGCCAGGCAAGGTGCCACCATGCCTGAGGGCACGCATGAATTCAGTCCCGACACAACATGGGCCTCCACCTCCCAGCTAGCTCAGCCTCTGTCTAGGAGCCAGTGAGTGTTTTGTGCCTCTTTGTCCAAAAAGGAGGGTTGATAGCCCAGAGCGGGAATAGATAGGCTTTGTAGGTCTCACAAGGGCCACCAAGGGGGGACCTGGGTGGCTCAGTCGGTTGGGCGTCTGCCTTCGGCTTGGGTCATGGTCCCGGGGTCCTGGGATCGAGCCCCACATCGGGCTTCCTGCTCTGTGGGGGGCCTGCTTCTCCCTCTCCCTTTGCCTGCTTATATTCTCTGTCAAATAAATTAACAAAATCTTAAAAAAAAAAAAAAAGCCACCAAGTCCCACACTTGCAGAATTAGTCTGAGCCCCGAAAGAAGCTCTCCCAGCCGGGTGCTTTTGTCCTTGTTAATTGGTAAGTTAATGAACTGAGGACATGGGAGGCAAGGATTGCCCAGCCCAGCGAGGCTCAGCCGTCCGCTCTGATTTATGGGTGCAGATAACGCCCTGTCTTCTGAGAAGGCAGAAGTGGGAGGCTTTCCGTCTCCACCACCCAATTTCTGGAAAGAAGGAAGAGTGTGATCCATGTTACGAATCGCTCTAGTGGGGGAGCTGACCAGCTGCGGCAGGAGGGCGCCGGGAGGGTCAGCGGTGACGGGCAGCTACCCAGCTTCCTCTCCGGGAGCGGGAAGGTGGATGGAAAGGTGCCCCAAGACCATTCAAACGGTCACATTTGGTGCATTACAGTTGTGTCCCCGTTGCTAAGGTGGCCTGGAATATGTTCCCGGCCTTGTCTTTGGAGAAAATACCTCCTATACCATCAATAGTTTCAAGTTCTCTTTTAATACATGTCACGACACGTTTTGGCCGTGGGGGGTCAGGAATGTGTGCATGGAATCCGATAGCATTCCAGCACTCCGGAGTCTGAGCGCGGGCCTGGACACTCGTTGGCCACTGACCTCTGTGTGCTCAAGAACACCCATTCTGGCCTCCACCCCTGCCACACCCTGGGTCGGCCCAAGACCTGGGAAGCAGGCAGTCGTGGAGAATTCCTCCTAATACCCACATAGGCCCTTGACTTCGGGGTGAGCCC